AAAAATCGAACAAGATTATTGGAATGATATAGCCAATTTGATAACCATACCTGTAGTAGTTTGGTTATCAGAAGCTGGTAAAGATATTACGAAACAAAATTCTATCAATTGGGATCATACGAAAACAAAAATAAATATTCAACATCGACAAAAAATCATTGAAAATAAATTACAACAAGCAGAATATAATTTAAACATTCATTTACAACAACCATGTCCATTCGATTGTGAAATATACAATAAGACTTCTATGGATCATTTCTTGAACATCATCTCTAATGTTCTTGTTACTCTTGTCGAAAATAGTCTGTATTATTTGCATACCAACTTTGAACAGAAGAAAATCTTATTAAAATTTGATATCACTGATGCAAATCTTGTCAAATCATTCTATGATTTAAATCCAACAGTGGAACAGGTTTGTTTTTGTTTTCTAATTACTTTTCTTTTGTTTATTTTGATTTTAGATTGTTATCGTTCGAAAAATTTGGCGAGATCAACTCGAACTTTGCAAAAAAGTAATTCGTCAAAAAAAGAAGAATCGTTCAAGCTCGATATATCAACAAATTGCATGGAAGAATGGTGCTGCTCTTGAACAAGATCCATTACTTTTAAACGGTTTATTCAGTGCATCAATGTATCAAATTATTCAAGATCGTTTGAAAAATATGAAAAAACGTACTAAACAATTATTAGGATTCGTTCATACTATCGATGACAATATTTTCTTCTAATTGTATCTAATTGTTTCTATTCCTATGTAGTTCTTTTGCATCAAAACTATCTCATATGTTTGTACTTAAACAAATTGTTCGATTTTTCATGCAACTTTTGTGTTATGCTACAAACTTTAGACTTATATATATATATATATATACATATGTGTACATAGTCTTTTCTTTCAGATATTATTTACTGCAATCATTTTCAATTTCTAACGAATACTATGCCGTTACAAATGGAGAAACCAGGGCATCGGAATCAACAACTGTTCCAAACTCAAGTGTTAACTGGACAAAAAAAGAATAATGGAAGGACTATGAATATTTCCTTGGACAATGATTCTATAACAGAAGTTGACAATTTATTGGCCAACAAAACTCAAGAAGAAGTTCCAACCAAATTTCAAGTGAAAGTAAGATCTGTTTTTTTAATCAAGATTACGTTTCATAGTAATTTTTTTTTGTTTTTTTTTCTTATTTCTGTTTAGTCATTGGAAGAACAAGATTTATCACAAAGATTAAGTCAATTATCTATGACTTCACATTACATAACTGAACATCTCAATATGGTCAATGTAGATACT